ATACCCCAAACATGAATAAATCGTTATTGATTTTAACGTTGCAATAAGTTTTAATCATCAATTAGAGAGGACGTGCTCACAGTAATAGAAAGCTAAATAGTAATCAAAATAGGATATCAAAAAATACACCATTCATATTCCGCATTCACCTAAAGGTTTATGCTCACAGTGATAGAATGCTAATTAGCAATCAAATAAGATAACTATGCTCCGCTACGCTTCGCATCTGTATCGCACACCCCTAATACTAAAGGTGTATGCTCTACAGTGACAGAAAGCCAAATAGTAATCAAATCAGATATTAAATACACCATTCATATGTGATATACAAGTTTACCAGGAATGCAGTAAAACCTCGGAAAACTATAGAGAATGAATAGTGTTTTCAAAAATTACACTGAAATGCACCGGAATTGTACCTAATACTAAAAAGCCCACTATTATATTACTCACTTCCACTCTCAACAAAATAATTCTTTGCAATAATATTAGCATCAACTCCCCTTCAATAGATAGTATAAGGTTTATCTAAACCCTTACTAGGATCATTAAACTGTTAAACGCGAACGGGCCACCTGGTGTAGTGGGTTCCCCGGGGACGACCCAATTCCTGGTTTCGGGGTTCGACTTCTGTCGACCACTTATACTAGATTAAGACACCTGTTCGTTTTATTCTCTACATCTTTTTCTGCAAAACCCTTCTCCTGTCAATGGTATGGTATCAAGCCTCCATTGCCCCTCCTTCACCTGCAGCCCGAAAAAAGCTCAAACGAATTGTGGCTGACTTTATCTGGGAAAAAAGGAAAATCCATCCTTGTGCCAAACTATCCTCTCTCCCTGCAAGATCAGGAGGCATTGGCTACCCAGATATTGACAATGAATGTGACATTAGGTGCAGCCCATCGCCTCAGCCAAATCTTTCACCAGAACCCCCCCCCCTATGGGCCAAATGCCTTAATGCTGAAACACTACAAGACCTAAATGCATCATTACCTCGACTAATCTTCTCAAGAAAAGTGACTCGCAATCACAGCAAACCCAGATATACTGGCCTCAAAGCCTCAAAAGCAATTGAGACCAAATGTCCTGGTACAATGTCACTACAACCTGACCTACCCACTCTATGCAATATCCTCCTACCACCACCACTGGCACAAAATTCCATCCTGTCTTTCAATGCTCATGGGGTCTTTTCATGGGAGGAAATCTTTCATAAAGGCAGACCCAGAAAAATCTCAGACCTATGGTGGAAAATTGCCCATCAATGTCTTCCAATTGGCATATGTGTCAAACAATATGCTCCTGATGGTGAAAACTGCCCATGGTGTATCACCACAAAACTCACAATCACTCATCTGTTTGAATCCTGTCCTTACACCAGCAAAATATGGGACAAAGCAGAGAAATGTGCTGCTTTCCTTGTTCCAAACAACACAAGACATCCCATCAAACTACTTATCACACATCCGCTCGATAAAATGATTCCCACTTATGGTGATGACTTGCACTATATGAATCGCACAGCATCATTATAATGATAGTCTCCTAATATACGGGGGAAATCGTATTAGGCAAACGTGCATCTTATCGGAAAATCGTGAATATTATGTTTCGCAGTCACTGATGCCTGAATAAAGGTGCCCCTCTACAATCACGCCTTTTACAAGACTGATCGATTTATATAATAAACTGATAAATTATTTCATCATTGGACATTTGTCAAAGTTAAAAAAAAACATCCAATCAATCGCCTTACTCCATAACATGTGAATGTGACTTCATTATCTGGATGAATTATGCGGTTTGACGATAAGAGTCGGCTTGTATATGAGGCGAATGTGTGATAATAAAGTAATTTTTGTACTAAATCAAAAAAGTGTCAGATGCCATAATTAACTCCTATTTTTCTTAATTATAAACAAAATAACTAAAAGAACAATAATATTTCACAGCCAACTATCCAATAAACTTTTCTTTCTTATTTTTGTTAAGTTGGTTTTCTAACCATTTTCAGTAACAAGCCTCTGGATCATTTAGTTCTTCGGCAAGTCATTAATTTTCCATAGTACATCAATTGGTTGTTTTTTTTAATAGGTCTATAATGTCTTCGATATTTTACAATTTGGTTTTAGGAAACACATGAATCACGAATGCAGATTCATTATAATTATTGACATAAGAGGGAACATAACCTTCCCATTTTCCCTTTTATATTTAAGAATTTTACAAGTTCTTCTTCAAATTTTTGCATTGTATTTGTGAATTGGTTTCAAGTTTCATGATTATGTACTAAAATTGAGTCATTCTCAAGATCTTGATAAAGATAAACTTCTTGAATATATTTCTTCTTCAGCTTGTAGTTGAAGTAATCCAGATAAAATTAAGTTTAAAAAAACATTTGGTCAAGTTGTAGATTGAAAAAATAGTAAATTTAAAAGTGGTGGTGGTAGTAATTCAATGGGTTATTTTGGTGATTCAGGAGTAGGAGGAAGTTTTGCGTTTGTTGAAACTTGTTCTACTCATAAAATTGATAAGACAATCGAATAAAGTAAGGAAAATGTTAAAAAAGAGATTAGATATTTTGGTGATATACTTTATGTAATGCACGCTCTCTTTCCCAAAGATAGTAATTATAAAGACAGTTCTTTCTTAAAAGTTGGTCAAAAGACTTGTTTACAGTTTAGTTTCATGTCCTTTATTAGGCGCAACTAAGGTGGACCTCTAAAGCTGCTTTTTTGACATCATACTAAGTACATGTTTGAGCCCAATAAGGTTTATCTTGTCTATATGCTAAAGAAAATAGATTAAATTAGTATTGAAAATATTATATAGTAATGAAGGAGGGGGAGTGGTGTGGTTATAGCCTCACTGTATCTATTTACTATTATTGATTTAACAGGGGGCCAAGGGGGTTTTTTGCAGGTGTGAGTTGAAAGGGAGAGTGATCTAAAGGAGAGGAGTAAGGAACATAGTGACTTATACATGTGTTGGATTGAGGGGGTTGGTTTTCCCCCAAACACATGTGAAGTATATCCTTTCCATATTGTGTATAGGGCTGCTGATTGAATCAGCCTTCCTGTATGTTGGTGGAGGGAGGATGGATGTGTGATTAGTAGTTTGATGGGATGTCTTGTATTGTTTGGAACAAGGAAAGCAGCACATTCCTCTGCTTTGTTCCATATTTTGCTGGTGTAAGGACAGGATTCAAACAGGTGAGTGATCGTGAGTTTTGTGGTGATACACCAATATGTTCAGTTGGTTGATCCGAATATTGGTTACTTATTATGGGAGATATCCGATTTATTCAGGCAAAACGAGTAGACTTGGAAAAGTTTGCATGTCGGTCCACGAAAGAATACTTTCCCGATCCGCGCGATATAGAACACATCATTGAAAAGATCTTGGCCCAAAAACAATGAACGGTGTGCAGAATTAATATACTTACCCGTATTTAATAAATAAATTTATGCTTAAACTCTAATCTATTTATGAGACAAACATTATAAACGGTTATTAATAATTAGAACTTGATGCTCGTTTTTGCAATTGGTACCAACGCTTATAATGCAGTGTTAATTGATCTACTAGTCAAGGTTTGGTTATTAATAGAGATTATGAATATAACTTAACGCAAACGAAAGTAGATACTTTTGCAAACGACAAGCGTAAGATTATTTGCGTACGCCCAGGGGTGAATTTAAATTGGTACATTCCATATGAAAAGCACTTACCAATTGAATATTGAAGATACAAGATTGTTACGCCTTAACTATTTAGTAATACGACTTATACCAAGTATAAGTACAACTAGGCAGAATATTTACTATAATTATCGGAGAAGGGGGTGTCACGGGTTTTGAAAATTACAATGTCTCGAGACAAAACTTTAAAATCGTCGAGGAAAGTGCCCATCAGGAAAGTAATTGCGGAGATCTCTACTTCTTAATCAAGCTTACAAAGCTGCGAACAAGCACGGACATTTATAGCTATATTTATATTTTTGAATAACTACCAGATTAGAGCGTTATTTATATGATACTCGGACATCCTGAATACGTTATCGCCAATTAAAAAAACATCCCATCCAAACTGGTAAACATTGTAATGCCCTTGCCTTGCTTTGAACACAAGCCGAAGCATGACTAAATTTACTGTATGTAATGTTAATATAATAAAAAATAGTAATTAACAAAATAATTATTAACCGCATACTTTCGAAAAATTACAGACTGCTGCTATTTATACAGAGAACCATTGATCTAAAAATCCTTAGTATTTTTTTTGATACTCAAACTCTTGCAAGAATGTTATATCAATTTTTTTCAATGCAAACAAATTAATTAAACGCAAATTTATGTTTTCTCTTTTTTAATTATATCTATCAGTAATTTTTTTCTCCAGTGTAAAACTATTTTTGATCTAGATTTATTAGCGCATCATTAAAAAGTCTTGTTATTTACGTACCCGTCAATCTAATTTAAATTAATGTGTCAAATGCTTACTAAAATTTAGCACTTGCCTGATATTTGTGGATTCGAAAAGTTGAACAGCGCTCTCGTATATATAGAGTTTTAGTAATAAAATTTGGTTTTTGCTTTCGTAATAATGGTATCAAATGCGTTACGAGAAGACGTTATGTGTTGACGAAAAAAAAAATAATAATATTATTGACATTGAACTCACTCATTAAACGCAACTATTTTAGTTACGGTTAAATAGTAAGCGTGTCATTGTTCTCAATGTGTGTAGATTTAGTCGTGTGATGATACAATTAGTTGGGATACAACACATTAGTTAACTTGCAAGCAAACTAATATGTTTATCCAACCCAACAATAGTTATTAAAAAATTTTTTAATGTTTGTTTTACTTTATAATTATGATATTTTGGCCACAAAGCCTATAATAATATATACTAATAACCATTACGTATTATCAAGTCAATTGCTAAAATTACTTGGATATAACTAAATTGGCATTGTTTAAGTATTAAATTATGTTTTAGTGCGTCGGATTAAAACTAAATGAAATAGTCCTAGAACCTTCCGAGTCAGTCACATTTCTAACACAAGTTACTATCTTCTTGTCGGCAGGAACTTGCAATCTATAGTTAGTCCTAAAAGAGTCAATTTGATCGAGCGAAAGCTGTTTAAGAGGGGGGAAAGGTAGTTAACAAGTTGTTTCAAAAACAAAAGTGGTTAATTCTATATACTACTTACCGTTACAGGATACTGTATAACTTTCACACCGGGTTCGCATGTAAGTTTGGTCTTAACACTACCTAAAAAATAAACCAGTTAAGCATCTGTATGCAGGATACAAGCAACATATGTTATGCAACCGTTTATCTTCACATACTGTAATTTTCAAATCCGCTGCCATACAACGAGCTTTTTACAATGTATTCACCAGGCTTGCCATCGACTGTTTCAACAGAGACCGGTAAAGGCAAAACTTCGCGAGCCGGTACATAGTCTACTATTGTTGCACGCGGTTTGGCAACAGCACAAACAGTCAAAACGAGAAGAGAAAGTATAGTAATGTGTGCAAATTTCATTTCTTTTTTTTTAAACATGTCAAAAAGTTTTTGGAAAGATTATATAAAACAACGGTAGGCGATGATCGGATCTTCAAAATCATGCGGATAAATGTGATAATAATAAGACGTTACGTGTGACTATTCTTTTGTTAAAACTTTACTATTTTGTATACACGGGCGAAGACTATTTACTGAATTGGATAAACTCATTATACTAGCAATATGGTGGTTATTTAAATTCGCTTTCAACGGTTCATCCACTTTACTGAAATGGAAGTAAGTGCAAAGATGACCTCTCAGCGTAAATTTATGAAATAATTTTGAGTAATCATTATACCGTTATAGAAATTGGCACATGAAAATGTTTATATAATAAAGATCAGCCAAATTTAGTAATTTCCTTCAGAAGGAAAGCTGTTGAGTTTGTGGAACGCTCTGCTATCCGAATGAACGGAAAAAAACTTTAGACAGATTCTATTGATTAGGAAAAGTAGTTCCTCGTGGGATATCAAAGTAGTACGAAGGTAGTTTGTCGCTCAATAACAAATTAGGAAATGAGTTGACGTTTGGTGTGGTGGGTGACAATGCTTATTGGCTATTCGACTCATTAATGGGTGTTTTGAAAATGTTATATACCACTAAACGTAATGTGATTACTTATTGTTTGCAACATAAATAAAAATAAATAAACACGCTCTACGTAATAATTTAGATTACAATAATGATAGTAATAGAGTAGCAGCATGTGTGAGCCGTGTGAAACATCAAGTTGCTTTAAAAGATAAGGTGGCTGGCACAAGGAGCAATGGCCATGTGATAGCAGGGGTCAAAAAAATTCCAAAATAAATAACTATCCATAACGATAATTACTAGTATTAGCAGCGTAGCGAGTATTTCGGTTTACTGTTATTTACTATTACGATTACCCCACTATTCTATACTATCGAGAAAAAGTAGAATATGGTAAAACAAACTTACGTTTTTTATCGTTTTTATGTAAAGCCTATGTTCAAAATGTCAATTTATGCAATTTTTGTTCAACAGTGCCATCGGTTCGATAAACACAATCAAGCTCATTATGACCAAAACCATAATGAGAAAGCGTTTGAGTTTTGTTAAACACTGAGCATAATTTGCTACTATATTTATTGAATTTAAAATTCGACAATAAATCAACTTTAAAAGCAATCGTAATTACGCTAATTGAGACAAGACAATAATGTTTACAATTATATAACTAATTATACAAGTGCACTATTATAAGCGTACATGTGACTGATGGACAAGCTGTAATAAGCAGCTGGAGTAACAGTGATTGTTAAATTACATAAGGAAAAGTCGATAGCGCTAGTTATAGATTTGTAAAACAATATATACGTAAAACACGTTTAACTATTTTGTACACAAATACAGATAACAAATTTGTTTCAATTAAAGGTTATGTTTCCACAAAGCTATTCTCCAACCGAAAATCCTATCCGATATGTTTATGTGAACATAACGTGGGAGAAGAAAAAGAGGGTATTTCGTAATCTCGCCCAGTGGGGTCAATCAATGCAGTATAATTAAACTTGATACGTAAACACCAGAGAAACGGAAACTTTCTACGAAATAAATAGCAGTTTTATATGCTTAAAGTACTGGACGTGCATCTTGTCATAAATTTAATAAAAAGTTTTAACAAATTTGGGATAAATTTTTTACCATACGATAGTGCATGCGTTTTGGTCTTTGTTTAAACGTATATAAATTTGGGTTTTCTTTAAAATGATTCACTCTTTATTTTAATCCTATCTTTCTTCGAATTACGATTGTTGTAGTTCAATTTTAATACGGAGCTGAGGCAACTGAGTTTTTGGAACTGAGAATAACCGGGCTCGGAACTGATGGCAGTTTCAAACTCAGACACCATGCTGAGAAATTACAAATCATTTACTTTTTACAAACCACATTATTCTAAAAAATTTTCTGCTGCGGATTTCATATGACACTCGGTATACAGTTGCTAATTACTAACTTGAACATAATTAATACTTAAACATTAACAGAATGGAGTATATCAATTAGCAAAATAGTCAATTTTATTCACTTCGCCACATGATTTGAAGATCTGATTATTGACTGCTTTGTTCTATATAAATCTCCACAAACCATTGACGTTGCTTTTTAAAGTACAAGAAATGAAATTTACACACACCATTATATTTTCTCTTTTTTTCTTGGCTGTTTTTACAGTTGCCAAGCAACGACTGCCAACTCACGAAGTTTTGCCTACACCAGTTCTTGTCCATTCGGTCAAAGATAATCCCAATAAATACATTGTAGAAAATATATGGTATGGCAACGGATACGAAGATAATGGTGCGTTAATACACATTTATTATTGTATTCGGGTAACTAGCGAAACTAAAAATAAGTTTTACATAACTAAAATTGTTTGTAGATAGAGTTACAGCAATATTAAGATGCAAGTCACCTGTAGTTGTTAACGCTACTCATCAGGTAAAATTTTAATTGAGATAATATCTTGTTTTTACAACAACGTTTAATTAAATTTTTGTTTGTTTGTTTGTTTGTTTGTTTAATTTTTTAATTATTTTAGCCCACAGTATTCGGTACCCGCAGAATGTTTTTTGAGCTGACCGTTCCTGACAATGTAGACACTGTATATTGTAAAAGAGGAATAGTTGATATCGAATCTTTCCGGGGCTGGGTTATTACTTTTGATCATGCAAAATAGTCGAGACTGTGTATTGCTGGTTATTTTGTGTATTTGGTGTTTTTTCAATCAATTTTTCAACATTTATTCTCAGCAATATTTAATAACTATTAGCATACGCATAATTATTATTGTAATACTGTACATGTTAACTAATATTATACTTAATTGCTTACAGTATTTGATGTACGTAAAACTAATTTATTTATAAAAAATTGATAAACGTTCTGTGCCCGGCGGACTGTGTCGACCAGGGCGTAGTGCAAATATTTTAAACAAGAGTTTGAATTAGCACTAAAGTTTGATTAACTGAGATATGTATGTGTGCTGCATACAATTTTGTTGTATGTCAGATCGGAAAATTTTATGTCAATTCCGAAGTAACATATGTATGTCAACCCCGAAGTGACATATGTCAGATCGGAATTTATGTCAATTCCAAGTGATATATATCAGATCAGAATTTATGTCGCTTCCAAACTGACATACGACAATATATTATTCAATAAAACATTGTCATATTTATTGCTAGTTTTCTATTATTCTTATCTGACACATGTCAGTTTGGAAGCGACATAAAATTCTGATCTGACATGTATCATTTCGGAATTGACATAAATTTTGATCTCACACATATTACTTCGGAATTGACATAAATTTGATCTGACATATATTACTTCGGATTGACATAAATTCTGTTAATAAAGTTTGAAGTTTTGACTTTTTCTATTAAATCGCCTAAGTGTCGAATTATACCTACTGTATACTCTTGTAAATAACCCCTCGATCATATAAAAATAATCGGCAAACCGTCATGTTGAGAACAAACTTAGGGGGTTAGTTTATAGTAATCACCAGTAACCAAAATTTTATTATAATTGAAATAAAAAATTTTATAATTACGTGTACTATGTAATAAACTGTTAACGAGGGGTACGTTGTGCGGGTAATCGTGGTAATTATGGGGGTAGGTCTGCCTATTCATGAGAGTATACGGTAGTCACTCTCGAAAATTTTATCCAATTATCGAGAGATCCGACTAATCAAATTTTATAATATTTTTGTTAAAAAAAGTGTTTTTATTTAAATATAAAAACATCACATATTTAACGACAAAAAAGTATCTTACATATTAATATCCATTTGTACAACTTTTCCATCATGAGCTACTTTAGAGAAGCATTTTGCTTTCTTTTAATTCTCACTGCAAGTCTTCCAATCCTGAGGTCCTGATACGTTACTTTTACATCAGAATTTTGTTGTAAATAGTTTGAACGTTGTTCAAGCAGATATATTTGATATTCTATTGCATTTTTTCCCTTCCTCTTTTTCTGGCGCTTCCTGCACTGCAGTGATTATATCCTATCCCCTTTGTCAATCGTATAGCTACTTTTATCCTGGTATCAATGTTAATGTAATTGCTCGCTACAATATCATCCACATCAATTTGATGCATAAGGGATTCCCTTTGATTTCTGAATCATTATGATGTCATAATAACGTATATATAATAACATATATATTATATAGTACGTTGTTTACGATAATCACGTTTTAGACAAGCAAATGGTGTAATATTGTCTATGACGCTACAATATCATTGGGTAATCAATGTATTGTATATTCACTAAAAACGGTAAGAATTATTACGTGTTTCGACTTTTCGAAAGTTGTTTGTTATAACCGAATAAAAGGTTGTCCGCCTACAATTTTATGTGTTGTCCGACTTATTGAATATCACTTTCTGTCGTAAATTTTCCTTGTTCTAAAACTTTTTTAGCTAAATCGAGAGCTTCTCTTACTTTTTATATAGAAATAGCAGCCTCCTCTTCAATGCTTGAGTTTTCTTCAACATGTACTTATTGCAGGACACTCTGCCATCAGAAATTTTTCAAAAATTATCGCTGATGAACTATTGGTAATATAGTTAATAGATACAGTCGATTTAATAGACCTTGCGGCGCTCTCTCTTATATATTTAATGGCCTGATTTATGTAGCCTAATTTGTGCATGATTTGTGGCTGAATTTATTAGAAGTGGTAAATGATTGACAAACTGACACAGATTATATAAATTGTAATACAGAGGGGGGATTTATATACATATACGTGGGATATATTAATTTACAATAAGGAAAATCCGTCCAGCTAAAAACTTTAGTCGAGGTTTGGGATACAATTACGGGAGGATACAAATGAGGTATGACCATAATGGGTCTGTCTGTGATAAACACGCATCTCTATGCAATAAGAATATGATATATACCCCTTGACCGGACCGCAACGTAAATTATTTCATTTTATAGAAAAGGCTTGCGTCGATTAAAAAAAACGGGTTATTTTTGTTCGGTAACTAATACACAAAACGATTTCATAATGTAAGTTGTTTGAAATCGGCTTTTGGTGGTCTACTCTGTTTCCTATACGTAATTAGCCACCATAAAAACTACAAACAGTTTTCTCCATACATTTCTGGAACCTACTACTTGTGTTCTTTAAAATATCGTAAAGTGTTTTACGGAATATAGTGACGATGGCTTGTAATATTTATGCGTAGACAATATATGCATATCGTGCGCCACGATTTTGCCAGTATTTTTAACCAGTTGTCTATACGATCGAAAGTTATATTCTAAGATAACGTCGCATTTTATTAACATTGTCACGAATTCATTCTGCGTCACATCGACAGTGTGGTGTTTCAATTGCTGGTGCCAGGATATTTTTGTTTTACAGAACCAGAGACATTAGGTAGGAAAGCCGTGCTCTGCTCCTGCGTGCGCGCAATTGTACACCCGATTGTATAAAGAACTTGCTTGCAAATCTTAAATAGTATGCACGCAAGTTTACCCGAGTGTTTCAAAAAAGATTAGCAAAGTTACTGGTAACCTCAAACAAGCTATGTTGAAGCGTATGGGTACGTATTTAATTAAACAAATTTATCAATGCATACGTTTAACGTCTATTCTTCATTAGTCGCTAATGTGGTAACGAAAGTTGAGAATAATAGCAAGGAGATGACGTTTAAGTTTAGGAGAAAAACATCATAGTGTTAACTTTACCAGGCTTAAGGAAGACTCCATTATTGATTTGTGAAGCTCATCCACAATTATCATCTGATAAACAAATTATTGTTTACAGCAGGAAATAATATAAAACGTTTATACGTTGACATATTCTGCATACTAGATTTCCCTGTAAGTAACAATGTCACTTTCATTATTAATAACCAACCAAAAGATAACCGTCAAATGCCTTTTAGATTGAAACCATGAAAGAGAAGCAATGACTTTAAAAGGAAATTAAAAGGCAATGGAATATGCTATACATATGAAAATTCATGTGTACTCCCACTTTATCGGACTGCGACAGTGAAACAAAATTTATCGAAAAAATTTGTGACTTATTTAGTAAATATGGCCGGGAAAATTTCTCTTACTATGGTAGGCACGGTTTGAAACAATTCGCAATTTTGCCAAGAGCTCTATTACCATAATAAGTCACGGTTAGATACTGCTATTTTCAGAGGAGTAACGAATCTAAATATGTCGAAATTATCTTCATAATATGTACAATAGAGGTCTTTGAAGAAAAAAGATTTTGCGTAGGTTTGACTGATTGATCGGCAAAATCGTGTGCTTACCACAAAGAAATCTAGGCTGCTGATTGATAGTAAACATAGGAAAATCTGTGTTGCTCGTATTTATTATGTAAGTAGTAGTAATTTTGAAAAAATAATAACACATTTAAATCTACCATCGTTATAAAGCTGCAGTTCAATGAAGTGGCAGTCGCAGGTGACGTTACATTTTTTTTGTATGATATATATGTACTTGCATATCGCTGCGTAATTACAATCTGTTTTCTGAAAAGTACAGTCAATTAGCTTCAGAATGATTCAAGAATAATGTTATTAACTAGTAGATACAGCCGAGAGTAAAAAATTTCTTCCGAAAAAGCCCACCGAAGCCAATTTGGCAAAGCTAAATTGTCGTGGACGCGTGACAAATTACGGCAAAGTGTACGTTTACACGTAAATATCAATTTCTATTCAAGTGAGCGATAAATTTAACCACTATGTTTGGCGTAAATTGCAAGCTATATGAATCTTAATAATATTATTGGTCGTGTCAGTCAAATTTTCTACGGCGGATCTTGTTACGTAAAGTATAATCCCAACAGCATTGAGGGGTAACTTACAATAGTAATTGCAGTGACCAGAAGCGTACTATTATTTGTATACGCATAATGAACTGTGAATGGGGGAGCACGTCATGCAGTTAATCTTGGGGTGCTTATTCACGGTAGTATACGATAAGAAACAAAAAGCCAAACGTCAGCTTTTTTGTCTTATCCAATTCCGAGTAGCTAATGTTTGGATATAATTGTCAGTGTTCAGTAACTAGTTATATAATTGTTACAGAGTAGATAATGCCGCAAATTAATTTGACAGATAATATCTAACCTAAACGAATCGTCTGGTGGAGACTTGTCAAAATAAATCGACTCGGACACTCTTATATTTTCAGACATTTTTACGTAGGACGCACATTCGATATTCAATTGCATGAGGATATAGTTTCATGTCTACATATTATATGCGTCAACCTGTTGCACAAATAATGCAATGTCTACTAATTAATGTAAGTAATTCTGGTCCCCAGGCCAGGCTTCTAGCATCTAAATTCGAACAGACTTTCCTCAAACAACATTCTGAGGTCTAAGCTCTTGTCAACAACGTTGTCCATAATTTTGTTAGATTATTCTACGCGCTAGAATAACGCTAAGTTATTTTGATGAGTCAGTAGAAAATTGGCAACTAAAAACAATCTATGCAAAATACTTTTGAAACATTATATCAAACATAGTAAGCAAACTTTTTGCGTTTAATCAACAATTTTTATCCCAATAGTAAAAATGCATATATAGAGGGTCAGGCGTTTTATTAGTTACGTAAATTAATACATAAAGATAAAAATAAAATTACTGTCGTTGACTAAACAAATTGTTATTGTTGTCGCATTTATCAACTGTAAATCAACATGTTGGAATTGGTAAATCTTTATTGGGCACATCTGTCGCAGACCGCTATATCATCTTTGAATAATCTCTTCGAATTTTCACAAAAAAAATAAACTGACTAATAGCGTAGCATTGACTATCAATTGTTTTGTGCCGCTGTCATTAATCATATAGATGTTTAATGGTTTATCAATCTCTTCAATAAGTGATGTCGTCATAAGGCGTTTTATAAATTAATCTTTCCGGATTATTCAATCCACATACCATCGAGTAAGTTAAGTACTTGTGTAAGTTTTTGCATGTTGATTTATTTAATATTCAGCATGTACTACTAGCGAATATAATTATCACTTGTTATACATAAAAATTACGGGTTTACATAGACAGATATTCATATAGTGGAACAATGTAGCATATAGTAAATGTGCGTATGTGAAACATTAATTGTTTATGCAGTTTATTGACAGCATGAATAAGCATTAGTTTTTTAATAGCCGTTTGCCTATCAAATAACCAGGTGGCTTTAATCCAAGTCAAGTATAATTTGAGATAAGCGTATGTTTTTCTTGTGACTTTGAGAAAACTTTTTGACCAAAAGAGTATTAACCGTACAAGTGTTGACGTATGACATGCTTGTTTTGAAGATAAGCCTCTTTATAATGACGCAAAAGCCCAGTTTGGTCGAATATTACAATCGTCAAATGCTCGGATTTAGGTACATCAACTCTATTTACTCTATTTCTTTTTCTGTGAACACTTACGAATAATTTCTCTGAAACTTCCGTAATTGCCAAATCTGGCATACATTTGAGTTGGAGCATAAACTAGCAAGTGTCTGTTTATAGATTTTCCGTGGTTAACGTTACGATGATATATCGGGCGTACCCACGTACTTTGTTTTCTCAAGTTCAATGTTTACATGTCTCATCACGTAGTATAACTGCTGACATAACCAATTGCTAATGTCGTACTAGATTTCGGTTTGCTTACGTTTAACGATAGTAATAGGCATTACTCAATAACATTCATGGCTCGGATTTGTGTCACATTTCCTTATTAATAAGATTGGCATGCGATAATTATTAATGGTAATATTGATAATAATTATAATTAGTAATAAGTATAGTTAAAATTGAACGATACTTTGAATGGTTGATAAGGTTTGATTACCACCATCTAATCAACATTATCACTCCTAACAATCGAAACGAATATTATGCTCAGTTGATATAATTGAAAGTCTATTCCGTTATCTCAATTCTCGAATTTGATTACATGTTTGTGAAAGCAGAATTCTGTTATTCCATGTTGTTGCTACGTTTATTCTCTATGCATGTTTTTGGTAAAAGCATTTCATTTCTTGGTATAATCTTGGCTTATTCGATTCGTATGCTAGTGCAGACATAACAAAGTTAAGTGCGAGTTATGTAATATGGATAAACATGTGAGAGTTACAAAAGAATAAATGTTTTTCCTTTATAAACAAGTAAACCTTCTGCTTTATTAATGCAGTAATGAAGGTTTATGGGATAATACAATACATTGCACGTGTAACCGTGAATCGATCTCCAAATGAGGGATTTGCAATCTGCAGTGTTTCATATCGAATAAATGATCAGATTTACCGGATAGCGTTTCCTTTGCAAGCAACGACGGCAGTACACACAAAATTACACTTTTACGTAATACTTGGCTAGCTATTTTAACTGTTATACGATTGATGGAAAATTCTCTGTGCAAGAACACTGGAATAACCCCCTATTGGTGACTATGGCTATTAAATTATCCCCATCGGTCAAACTTAATATGGATGTCATTTTGTCTGTCTATAAAAAGCGCGCGTGCCAGACGTATTTGATTATATATTTATAAAGCAAAAAAACAAACCAACATTCGACATGTCAACAGTGACACATCTAATTTTCTCTCTCACTCTTTGGGATGCCTTAATTTTATTCGGTACCTTGTTAATACTTTACATTACTAGATTCTATTATTCATATTTCACTCGCGAAACTCCATTCCCTGGTCCGCTTCCACTGCCCTTAATTGGAAATGTCATTCAAATAAGCCTCTCTGGTGACTTTAATAAGTGGATGCTAGATGCCCAAGCTAAATATGGTGACATGTGGGAAGTGTATATTGGCAGTGAGAAGCAACTTTGGCTGGGCCGGGCCGACTTGGTCGAAAATATACTGACTGCATCAAAAGACAACAAGTATTTTATCAGAAACCCTCCCAACAGCGGACTCGATGAAATGGGTCTGTCATATAATGGAATGGTATTTAATAGAAATAAAGAACGATGGCAATTCTATAGAAAAATGTTCGCTCAGGCGCTTACTACAGTAAAGTTCTCTAGACAAGCCACAGAATGGGTTCAGCAGGCGTTTGCTAATATGGAAGGATATTTTATGGAGTTGGGTTTCGATAAAAAAGAATTCAATTTTGCTTATTGGATGCCCCGATTTACCGCAGACATGACATTCCTTATAGCAATGGACAAGCACGCTTGCACAATGGCATCATTATACAACTCTTATAATCCATCCAAACCAGCTCCATATCCTCAAGAAATAGTCAAGGAAGCGGATGAATTCATTACAGCGTTCCAGACATTTACCAGCACAATGAAGTATTTTCTCCTGACACCTGAAATAATTCGCACGAAAACCCCTATTGGACGTAGCCAGTCGAAGAAACACATGGACAATCTAAACTGGCTTTATGAGTCCGTGCTTGAAATTATTCGAAAAAAGAGAGAAGACTTTGAAAAAATCGGGGACAAAGATCAATTGAAATCCGATTTTTTGACAATGATGCTTACTGTAAATACACCCAAAGATATGACACAGAACCGGGCGGGAGACAGTATCATCAAAGGGCCGTTGACAGACGAAGATATCAAAGCTGGTCTGATAGAAATGTTGAGTGGTGGTATTGATACGGTAAGTAGTCTAATAATAAATGTTATCGTACAGTTTTGACTGGTTATATTCTTACTAAATTGTCTAATTTGTGAATAAACAGACGGCAAATTTGATTTGCTTTATAGTCTACCTTGTAACTAAGCATCCGGAAGTCAAAGCACGTCTCCGACAAGAGTTTGACACGGTCCTCGGAACGGATCTTTCTCATCCAATCAAATATGAGGATTTGAATAAACTAGTATATACTGACGCTGTCATTAAGGAAACTGGTCGACTTATGCCTGTCACTTCCATAAATCTCCGTATGGCCGAAGAAGATGATATAATTGGTGGATATCCCATTAAGGTGTGTATATGTCAAACGTGACAACACTATAATAATACTCCTATTCTAATGGCTACATCTAATTTCCCTTATACAGAAAGGTCAACAAATAGTAATTTCCACCCTTGGAATTCAACACAACGCTAAACACTGGCCGAATCCGAAAGAATTCAATCCTGACCGCTTTTTGGAACCGAATTGTCATAACATTGATAGGTACTCGCTTGAAATGTTTGGAGGAGGTGTGCGAATATGCCCTGGAAGGCATTTAGCTATGATAGAACTGAAAACCATTGTTGCTTTGATCTTCCGTAAATATGACCCTGAATTGGCCACACCGGACACTAAGCCGAAGTACAAAAATGAATCTATAAATCAATGCTATGAACTGATGTTGAGATTTAAGCCGAGAAAGATAGAATAAAGCGGTAGGGAGCGTGCTTTGAGTATGTAAAGAAAATCATAAACTAGACTATCGTAAAGTAAATGTTGGCATCATAATATTGTATCGATCGCGTTTACAGTATTATAGAATTGTCACGTATATGTATTTTTTATTGAGAACGTCTAATTTATAATAAACCATTTATACTAATATCAGTAATAGGTTTTTTTATCATTGATGATTTGTGACGCCCTCAATTTATACACATTTTATCTCTCATTTCTCCAATAATACTGCTATATGATATACTTTAAGCTATGTAATAGTACTTGTTGTATACTATAAAAACACTATTTTATTATTATAGTTTAACACATAACAATGCATGTTGTCATGCTAACGAGTAATAATAATTATACAAAACAGTCAAACATTAGATAATTCTAAAAGCTCTATAACAAATGTGTTCAGTGATGTATAGTAAGTAACATGCCTTATCATATTATTCACTAATCTTAAAAGTGTGATATTACATGTAACTATTACTATGCTATACTGTATTGTGTACAACAACAATAATAGCAATAACTTATTAATAATTATAATGACGATGTATTTATCGAAACAGAAATGCTACGCGCTTTTCATCTTATTAAATAATGCATAAATGGCAATTAAATATTGCAATGCGTATTATGATACTGAACTCCATAGTTCCTATACATTATGATATGTACGATCAGCTATTCATTCAGTAAAAGAAATAAGACCACAACATTTTGAATCTTCCGCTATTATTTTTTTAATGCTTGGTTGACTGATCTGAAAGTATTAGATTATTTTCTTCAAGTGACAGATAAGAATATAATCAATCGGAAACGATTTTTCAATAGTAATAGCGATAACTAAAAACAAGTCAGTAGTTCCTGGATAAAGATATTTTCTCTTGTGCAATGCCTTTGGTTACTCATCTTCTATTGGTGCAGAGATGGAAATACAATTGTGAGTTAAAAACATCATCTAACATGTCATAGTAAAAAAAGTTTTGATACATTAGCAACAGTCTTTCTGTTTGTGTGGAAGCAATACAATTGTAAGTAAACACCGATCGACATATCATTGCTTGAGTTTACTAAAACGTTAGTAATGATCAGTGAGAAAAGGAAAAATGTGTATTAATGGCATGGCTCGACATGTCAGTATGAAAGAATGTTTTGAGTTACTGAACACGTTAGCAATAGTTTTCCGTAAACCCGACATAGCTTGATAAATCTTTATATCAAATTTACAGTATTTCAAGCTGACATACTCTTCGCTTGTCGACGAGCGATAATGTCATTACAGTGAAACATATTCCCGTTATGCAACATGAGTCACTACCTTAGGTGAAGGCGACGATGACATTGTAATCATATAGTTATGAGATTACGTGTACTTCTTCGATGTGTGTTAAGTAACTATCTCCGTTCGAACTATGAACGATTATCAATTATCCAACCATTATAATCACAACATAAGTAACTCTTACGAACGTTTTACTTAATTCTCAAACGATTGCTCGTAATGAATGTTTTAATAATATTCATAATTATCGTAGCAAAAGTCTTATAGTAAAAACTGCTTCTACAGTATATTGTTTACGTTCATTATCATTAAGCTACCTTCTTCACTAATTAATTTATAATTACCGCAGTTAATTAACGTCCAATAAAATATAAGAAATGCTGTGCTACTCTATTCAGTACCGCAGCATCCTATGATCAAATCGCAGTTCACAACTTATTACTATTACTATTACTATTACTATCACAAAATTCTCCCAATTCCATCATCACTGGGAACCCCCTCCATTCCTTTCCCTCTCTCCCTCACCTTTATTCCATTCTCCTTTCCACCAACTCCACCTGCCACTTACATGGAAAGAAATTCACCATTCTCACCATCCTCATACAATACTCCCTTTACCTTTTGTCCTTGTACTTGTGCCTTTCTATTTCCCCTGTTGCATCTAACCTTCAGAACCTATCCACACTCATCTCTCTACTGCTACTGAGCTCACACTTTCCTCTCCATCTTCCATTATTCAATCATATCTTTTTCAAAAATTAAACATATTGCTCATCTAACCCAATCAACTGTCCACTGGACCAATATCTGTATGGACCTCCTGCACTTCAACATCCTTTGGCTCCTCTAGTCCTTCCTATATTTCAGATGCTTCTTCCTCCTTTATTTCCATCCTCCTTTCATATTAAAACTATTACTCCATACTTACCCTGACCATAAACAAAACTTCATCATTAGAACCATTCTATCTCATACTCACATCCCTCAACTAACACTTCAAATATATAGACATTTATATTACTTCATATCAGTGCACCTCTATTAACACAATAATAATAACATTAATAGTATAATTAGTATTGCTAATTATAGTAATAGTAATAGGGTGATATTATAAAGATACAGTTCAAACATTTTTGGGGCAAGGCAAGAGAATGGGGGTTGTCACAAATTGATTCACAATCTTGATATTCACAGGTTAGTCTGTGCTGCATATGGAGGTTCCATCAGTTGGGGAGAGTATTTGAGAATCAAACAGTAAGCAGGCAGCCAGCGAGTACAAGCTCATTATAGCTTGGGAAGATGTTAGTTTGGACAATATTCCATGACCTTCCTGGGCTGATGTGGCTGATGTGGCATGCCCCATATGTATTAGTTTGGTGCAGAAACTGATGAGGAAGATGCTGTCAGTGATTTGCCTCTGAAGGTTACAGGAGATACTGGGGAGAAGTGATGTATTGTTAAAACATGACATGGACATACTAATACCAGAGGATCTGTTGGCATATGGAAGAGATAGATTTGGGTGGGTGGGAATCAGCTTGGGGAGTTTTGTAGGCAGCCAATCTTAGAGATTTTATAATTAGATATGAACTATATACTTGCCAATTGGGAAATTTAGAAACTAAAGCTATGGATCTCACACTGCCTGATGGATCATCACTATGTGAGGTTTGTATAATTACTCAAATCAATTATTATTGGATTCAGTCTAATCCTTTATTGCTTCTCAATTCAGGAGAGGTTTATTAGTATGTTCAACTGGGATATACTACTACTACTGAGATGTGTACAGGAGTTCATGGAGGAGATTGAAACCAAGGAAGAATGATTGAATATATTAAAGTTCATAACCAGCCCCTACATTACAGCATTTGATCAAGGAATTAGGGTAAGAAAGGACAGCTGTTTTGTTTGATTGTAATTTGTGAATTGAGTATTAACAATTGTCCTTTAATTAGATCAAAATTATTAGCCTGCATGTAAATCTACCTCACTCATACAGTTGATATGCTGGACCCTGCACCTGTACTTCCACTTTAGAAATTTTAATTTGTGACAATTATATATTAATACAGTCAAAGCTCGGAAAACCGATACTCGGAAAACCGATAAATGCCAAAACCGATAATTTTTCTAATTCCCAAAACACGTATAATAAAATTCGCTCGGAAAA